ACGACTACCGTTTAATAACTATAAGTAAATACCATTTAACAGATATATCGTTATCTAACCAGCAGAGAATATTTCAATTTTCTTCGAAAATGTCAATATCCATTAGTTTCGAAAAGTAAAACAAATAGGTAAAGTTTTAGTTCAAGCAATGTTGTAGAGAAATTCTTTGTTCTGAAATAAGCTGTTCAATTTGTGAAACAAGAACTTAACAAATGGTTGTGACTGCGCTGCAGAACTTATCATTTATAATGTATCGTTACTTTGGAATAAGTAATAGGTATAAAATGAAAATATATTTGAGGCGGGAAAAGTGAGTACTGAGTACTCATTACTACTCATATTAATTTTCCGTGAGACTAAACCTTCAGGCTGTGAGACTATCGCCCGGATACTGAAAGGCTACTGAATTTGAAGTCGCGCTTAAGTATAGTTCTGTCACTACAAATTCTTTGCAAAATGCCAGAGATGGCACGATGTTTAAGTACAACTTAAAATTGAGTAACCTTTCAGTATTCGGGCGTAACATACATAAATGTTACATTTCCAACTCTACCAATGGCACCTAAAATTGGCAGATATTGTAATCACCACTTCATCATCATCATCAACAGCCTATAAATGCCCACTGCTGAGCAAAGCCTCTTCTCACACGGAGAAGGTTAGAGCATTAATCACCACGCTTGCTCAATGCGGGTTGGCGATTTCAAACTTATAATTAGAAATTATAAGTTCAGGTTTCCTCACGATGTTTTTCCTTCACCGTTTGTCAGTGGTGTCTAAATAATCTTAGAAAGTACATATAACTCGGAAAAAGTCACATTGGTACTTGCCGTTGGTAGGTTTCGAACCCGCACCCTCATGCATGAGAAGTGGGCGTCTTAAACCTCCGGGCCACCACGACACGACTCACCACTTAGCGGTATTGAATTATTGAATAATACACCTTTGGAATAAACAGATGGAAGATTAAAACATTCTCAGTAATAGCACGGAGTCTGGAATTGTGCCCGGTATATGGCAATAGGCTAATGCCCTATTACATTGGACTCATAACATAAATAGTGAAAAGTGGGTGTTACATTGTAAAGCGGCAGTGTAATGTGCACCTCTGCCTACCCCTTCGGGGGTAAAAGGCGTGATGTTATGTTATGTTATAAACTCAGTCGAAGGTAAATGTGAGACCATTAAATATTTGAATGATTGGTGTGCCCTACAAGAGGTGTAGTGTCTCTGGCGTGTCGTTAGGTAACCGAAGATGCTCGGTCGCGTTCACAGCTAAATGCCAGCTCCTTTCCCACGGCCAGCATTATGCGCCCATTGTATGTCTAGTTCAATAATTAAGTCCGTTATTTACGGCAGATGTGCATGCATAGCTTATTCAAAATTATATGCCCTCTTATATATGCATATCTCTTGTGTTTTTACCCCAGTGTGAAATAAACTTTACTTTTAAAACTCTTTTTATTTTTTAAATTAAGTATTATTTACTAGGACAGCCCTGACGCCTAAAGACGTCGTAGAGAATTTAGATTCAGTAACGAATATTTTTTACATAATCTTTTTGAAACATTTAAGACCTGCGTTGGTACATTGGCACTGACCGCTCAGGTACACTCGCACTCATTACAATTCGTGACATCACATTGATGTGAGTACCCAGTGTAATATGTGTTGTTCAATAAAACGATGACGATTAAGCAATGCATGCAACAGCTAACGAAACTCCATTTAAATGAAAACGCAACGCACGCGACTGCGAAGGTATACCTCCGATTGAAATTGTCACACCAGGAAAACTGCAACAAAAATTACCTCGAATACCGATCCAATAAGCTAACGACAACTCGTTATCCTTAGAACTCGTTTAAATTTAACAAAATGAACAAATAGTTTTTATTTTAGCCACGTCTTGCCGTGTTACTTACCGGTCAAAAATGCTATTGTTTGATTTTGAAATGCGGAAACTCGATGATTGTAACGCACTTACCGAATTGTGCAAAGAATAGCCTTAATCTTGTTTCGTCAAGGTTTGAAGGCCTAACAATGAGGATGAAACGTGCAAATAACATGAATTACGATTCGTTTCGCTAATGGAGTGCACACACGGTGAGCAATCTGTATTGAGCTTGCACATCCACTTGATCTGCCCACCAATTTTTAAGCCCGGTGCAAGGTAAACAGTAATCCGATTTACATGTGCTTAAACATAGCCATTACTTAACAAAATATTTAAGCACCTCGTTGAAGAGATTAGAGTTATCATAGCAGCATAGGTCACTTTATTTGAACAATGTAATTAATCTCAGTATGCAACTAATAGTTATTCGATTAATTGCAGCAATGTGCTCCAGATATGTATAGTGCGTATTGAATGAAGTCAAACAATACTTCATTAGCAGCCGTCAACATTTTTTGCTATTAAGATTGAGCCATATATGTTATCTATAGCCGGCACCCTGCGTGGTAAATGAGCTAAAATAACTTTCCTAGTATTGTTTACGTATTGTGTGTTAGTTGCTCACGGTAGGTGAGCAATTATTACATTATGCGATTGGTTTGTTATTTGGCTGGCGAGGTCGGGGCGTGCGGCCTGCGACCCCGCGTCCTGCCTTGAAACTCCGGCTTTTTGTACCACCGCCTCACCGGACAATAGTCAGGTCACCCAGAAAATTGATCTCGCTATCGTTCTCATACCTATCTTATAAATCAATTATGTGAATAGGTAAGTATCTTTGATATCGATCTGCTAATTACGACCTCGTTGCTTGTCTGTATTTGTTACCTATTGACACATTGACTACTTTCACGACGTTTACTCGCCCACACACTTATGACCGATCAGTCGCCTAGAAACAACTTAAAGGATAATAAAAAGAATAATAATATATTTAGTAGATTATATCACAGCCCGTGCGTGTACGCGGGCGCAGCCGGCATTAAGAGCAACCGGTCGGATGGCATTCGACGAGTTATCAACTTTAACATTCTCAATCACCTTAATGAGATGACCCAACCTCTTTCGCCATAGTCCATTAAGAAAAACCAGATTTTTGCAAATAATTTGATTTGTCCCCATAGATACGTATTCTGACTATTTGGCATTTCCCGTGTACCTGCCAAAAAGTCGGCTAAGCAGACCTATTACGTAATTCGAGTGACCTTTGAAAGGATTTCATCGTCGCAAACGTCGTTTATTTAAGATAGAACAGTACGATGTCTGTACGTTTAGAATATTGCCATTTGATAGTTATAAAACGGCAGGCATATCTGATTGCCATTGTCCGCTGTCGCCGTCAACATTAGAGGTATAATTTATAATGATTCCGACTTATGTAAAAGTTATCAGATAATAGACAACAATCAGTGAATGCGTTTGACAGGTTGAGCATTGTAGTCTCGACACGTGACCCCCATTGAGGTCATAGGTAACGACTCCGTGACTACAGACGCGTTATGATTTTTCTATTAATAGCTTTCAGAAGTCAATCACTGAGCTACTGCGTAGTAGTGGCTACGCGTTTTGCCTACGCACAGTAGCCACGCGTAGTGGCTACGCCAGTAATTCTCTCTTCTATGGACTACGCTAACATCAATGTATTACTTTTATATTGTATTTTACTGACGTAAACAGGTCAATCTACTTCAATCTGCCAACATTAACATCAGTTTTGGTGTAAAGTCAACAATCTAATAAATCAATTTGAAATTGAAAATTTAACAAAGATTTTTTACAAAAATGTTGACCTGCTGACCATTATACTTACTTTTTTAATACTTCTTATAAGAAACAAGACTCATAATATTCATAAATATCAAAAACTACAAATCGTTAATTAATGTACCTATTTCAAAATAAAATTGCAACGTCTTAGACACCATTATTTATATATTTTCCAATAAAATACATATAAGACGTGTTGTAACAAAATCGAAATATTACATATCAGCATCAATTTTCCTCGATTGATGTCACCTTCCTAAAAATATGATAAGGAATACTGCACTTCTGGCATCCACACCAATTTTTAATGAAATGTTGAACATTATAATTCTTAATAACCCAGTTAACATTTTCCGCGTGGCTCCTTAGCTCACGGTCGCAGGGTGAGTGCCCTGTATAACTAGTTCCCTTTCAATACTACTTTAGTTACCTACCTTTATTTTACAAAACAAATGACCAACAGGCGCGTGCAGAATTGTAAGCCAATTCCATTGTATTGATTTTCAGTACAGGAGTTTCAAAACAATTAATTATAACACAAAAGCTTACAATTTTAGTTGTTACATAGCCAGTAATTGATTTTCTATGTTCTTATAGTTGTTTGTTATTAACTTGGGGAAATGGTTGTAATTCTTTTTTTATTACACGTCTTGCTTAATGCGATGTTACAATGTTACTGAATTCTACTTTACTTCCTAACCAACATATGTAAGAGCTAAAGTGCGATAGTTTTCTAAATTACATCATCACGCCTTTTATCCTCGAAGGGGTAGGCAGAGGTGCACATTATACCACGGTACAGTTTGACACCCACTTTTCACTATTTTTAAATTGTGATATATGTAATAGGGGGTGGGCCTATTGCCATATACTGGGCACAATTCCAGACTCCGTGCTACTACTGAGATTTTTTTAAAACCCAGTAATACTCTGCCCGGCCCGGAATAGCCGAGACCCCTTGCCCGGCAGTCGCACTTGCGACCACTCGGCCAACGAGGCAGTCACGAAGAGTTTTCTAAATTATTACAGCTTTTTATTCCTAAATTATATCAACTTACGTACCCATACTTAAACGTATTGAATATCTACTTTTTACCCTTTCTAAATTAATCAAATCCCTTCATATCGCTATACGCGTATAACAACTCTATTTCCATTTTTATCCGAAATAAACTTGAACAACCTATCTTATATTGAAAATATCAATAACATTTTGCCTAACCTCAGTAGGTACCTATATCTTAATATAAAGTCAAATTCTGTACCTATATTGTTCCAGGACATGATTCGCCGGATGTATCGGTGTCGCGCGGTAGTGCTATGACCTGAAGACTCAACACCATGCGGGCGGGCTCTCGAGTGGCCAGCGACTAGCCACACGGCCTCATTGCGCTTTGTGTTATACTGAGGTAAGATTCCGTAAGATACTTACAAACATATTGTACATCATACCTATTTTAAGACTACCTCCCACAGGATAAAGGCAATAGAAAGCTAAATAACTTACTGGAATACTTTTTTGAAAGGAAGCAAAATCTATATATAATGTTACTAAGTTATATTAATGACGTTAAATATTGCTATTTTATCTGTTCCCGATTAATCAGCTTCTCGACGATGAAAACTGTAGTTTACCTCCCAATACAAAGTAAACCCTTTACCAAAATGCTGCAAATATTTTCATTCATAATTCGACACAACTAGACACGCGGGAGCTCCCAACGTCAATCCTATGCCCTTCGGGTAGTTGACCCTCTTTTCGAATGCTGATAAAGACAAAAGACTGCCACATCAAAAATATAAGTCGCTTTCTCTCTATAACATTTGGCACAGTGGCTTCTGTGTTAAGTGGACGAAACCAATATTTGCTTAACCTACAAGTCACTTTACTCACGGTCTAGCTACTTACGTATGACAGATTTGATCTTGTACGCTTTACCGCAAATCACTAGTTACTCTAGTATATCCATCTGCTTTAAAATATTTTATGTGATTAACTATTGAGGGGCTCCAAACAAACATTCAAATTCTTTATAGTATTGTATATTAT